GTTTCCTGCGGAATTTGAGCATGTCACTACATAACAGATGGCGCATTGCTTGTTTTCTGTGCAATTTTAAAGGCGTTCCTTTGCTTCGGGGGGCTTCTGCCAAATTCCTGATAAGTTGCAGTTTCCATCCTTTCAATGGGTTTCTTTGCCGTTTTCGAATTTTTCCTTTGCTTTGGGGCGCTCCATCGGGGAAAACAGCTGATAAAACTGCAGTTTCCAATGCGTTCCTGTACAATATTTCTTGGAAAGAGTGCAAACCGTTGAGATCAGATGTTTCCACAGGTATCTACACACACAGTTGGCATGCCATTTTGATGCCTATCTTGTTTCATTGCTGAAAGCATCACACCACCAGATGGCAGGTTTCGACGATTCTCGAGATATTCGATGTTCATATGCCGTCAGTTTTTCGTGGCACAATATGCCATCAGTTTGAAACATTGTATAAGAATATTTTCAATATGTGAGGATACATGTCCCGGTGGGGACCACATGAAGTAAAGTAATTTGCAATGGAAGTTCCTTGGCCGAACTGGTCAGAACGATGCAAAGCGCGTGATTCCGGGATTGGTAAAATGTCATGTGAGATAGATTGCCTGATAGGTTGCCACAAAATATGTCAGATAGGAATGCCAGATCAAATGGCAGAATATGTGTCACATGGAAAGTCAGATAGGATGCCAGGTAAAATGTGATAGAGATTGTCAGAAAAGATGCCAGATAGCATCGCAGAGAAGATGTCAGATAGAATGTAAAGAATATATTCTATATGTGAGGATACATGCCGCGGTGGGGACCACATGAAGTAAAGTAATTTGCAATGGAAGTTCCTTGGCCGAACTGGTCAGAACGATGCAAAGCGCGTGATTCCGGGATTGAACAATGATGTGCCTTACCGCTTTTACGGAAAATGGGCCCCACAATCTGAACAAACTTTGATCCGTTTGATATTTATTTATATATATACTTGAAAGAAATGGAGGTTTCCTGTACCCATTCTTTCAGTTGTTTAGTATCCTTCCTTACGGGTCAACATGTTGCCACTCACTTGTTTGGCTCAAGCATGGCGAAAACAGGTTGCCGCTGCTGCCCCTTGGTGTCACCGTCTTTGTTTGAATCCTCTGTCGTTTTTGGGGTGTTGTTACTGAAATCGATTGGTTATCAGCCGCATTTGCTCTTGTTTGGCTGTTTTGGGGATTTCATTTCATAGGCTGCCAGGTGCCTCAAACCTGGCACACATGTCGTTGCATCGGCCGTGACCTGTGAATCTTTGTTGGTAAAAGGCTGGAACAGGAATCGTGCCAGATCCAAACTCTTCATCCTTGAGCCTGTCATCCGAGTCCATCGATGTTGAGGGAGGTGCAGTCACAGTTCATTCATCTCGAAGCCGAAGTTCATCCGGGACACCAAAATCAGGAGGACGTTCGTCAAGAACAAAACAAGTTTCAACCGTGAATCAGCCCTCAAAAGTTTCTCAAGTTATCAAGCGCTTGCCAAAGCCATCAGATCATGAGCGTGCCATGTCACCAGTTCCTCTTGTGCATAGTTCCGCATCGGCCTCCCAACCTTCGACTTTCATTCCCCAAGAGTCTAGTGGTCAGCCTGATGCCCGGATGCATCATTCACAGACGGTCCAGTATCATGATCGCCGCACTCAGCAAGTGATTGTTGGTGTTGATCCCATGAACTTTGCCAACATGGTCTCCGAGGCCAAGAGAGTGGTTCAGGAATCTGATGAAAGAATCAAGGGGTTGGAAGCCTTAGCTCAAGATGTGTACAGCCAGGCTTGCTCACGTATTCAGGAGTTGCTTGGTGTTGTTGAGAGCCTTCAGCTATCAAACCAAGGATTTCAAAATCAGATCCATCAATTAAACTCAGAAGTGGCCAATGTTCGCGCTCAGCTGGAGCTTCAAATAACTCGGAATCACGAATTGGGTAGCAGAGTTGAATGCTCCGCCAACATGTTAGACCACAAAGAGGGCGAAATTTCACGACTGATGGGTGAAATCCACCAGCTGAAGGATTCGGTCGACTCCCAGCGTTTGGTTTTGGAAGAATCTCAAGCTCAGAACTTGTCCCTTCGTCAACGCTGTCAAGATATGGAGATGAGTTTGGCTGCACGAAGCGCCGCTCAACCAGTTGATCAAGTCAGGTCTGATGCTCCACCTCCTCCGGCCGTTTCAGCGCAATTGCTGTCCATGATGGAAGTTTTGCAAGATCTTTCGACTCGTATGTCAGCGGTTGAAGATGCTCAAGAGATTCATGTCGATCAAGTTCAGAGCCATAATAGCGCGGCAGTGTCTTTTCCGTTTCCGCCTTCTGGTCTTCCTCCAAGACCTCGTTCTTTTCCAGCACTTGCCGGATCAGGGGGGCCAGGGTTTCCATCAAATGATGGCGGAGATGGTTTTGACGATGAAGATGAAGAATTAGTTCGAGATCGCATGCCCCAAAGCTTTACCAGTCACAGGGATCTAGTTGAGAGGGACATTGTGGATGATCGTTCGCTTCGGTATGCCACATTAGGTCCGGTTCCTTCCAGTGCTTCGGATTTCAGAGCTTGGAAAAACCAGTTGTTGCTGATCATGGCAAAGTTGGATATCAGTGATAGGGATTACCTAGCACATTGGCTTTCCAAAGCTTATGAAGTGAATTTCGATGAAGTAATCAAGCATGATTCTGGTTGTGTTCCGCGTTTAGATCGTTGGTTGGCAGCTGAAATTTCAAAAGGTTGTGAAAATGTGCCTGGGTTGCAGTTCAAGATCATGGGGTACATTGAAGGATGCACTCGACTTGGAAACCCTCCCAGAGGCAGATACTTGTTGCACATTGTTTCCAGGCATTTTGACATTGATCGCACTCGTGGTTCGTTGCTTACTTCACAATCGATCTTTCAAATAGGGCTTGATGGTTACAGTGCCAAGCATTTGCAAGAGTTTTCAGGTCGTGTCCTTCGCACTTTGAATAGTGTGCCGCAGGAAGATTGGCCGTCTCAGCGCGTGATGGGTGAGTGGTTGTTTCATCAGTTGAGGCAAGTTCGCAAGTTGGAAAGGACCATTGATGAGATCAAGAGAAGCGATGCTCAGTCGCCACTCCGTGATTTTGATCATCTTTGGAATAGGTTGCAGGAACACTTGCTTGAGGAAAGAGAGGAGATCAATGCGCAATCAATTGAAAACTTGTTGAAGTCCAGCTTGCCAAAGAAATTGCAGCCCGACAAGCCCACCAGTGCGCCTGCTGCCATCGCTCCGTCGTCTGAATCGAAAACACCCCCAAAAGGTAAAGCCAAGGGAAAGGGAAAAGCAATGACAGCAGAGCAAAAGGCCAAAACAGCGTGCATCTTTGATAGGATGCCTACCGGATGCGTCCATGGAGAGAAATGCCAGTATCTCCATGAGCCTGCTCCCTCACCTTCCTGAGGATCAGGGGGGTTTCATCCATCCAATTGTCAGCAAATCCGATGAAGTTTGTGCTGTCCCGAGCTTAGTTGGATAGGAGCGTTGTGGTTTGCCGATTCTCCTGGCTGCTTTTGGATTTTCTCGTGGAAGGCGTTCAGCTTCTGGTTTTTCAGTGTCTTGTTTCTTCCAATTGCCGGCCGATCCAATGAAGTTTGTGCTGTGCCGAGCCTAGTTGGATTGGAGTTTTGTGCTTTGCCGATCCTCTTTGCCGCTTTTGGACTTTTACCTGTCTCGTTTGTCATCGTCTCATTCCAACATTTTGTCAAGGCCTCAGTGGTTGCGCGGTCTTTAGACTTTATCTGCTAAGCTTTCATCAAGTGCGTGCTTGTCGTTCTTCCGCTCTCGCACTCGTCAGTTTCAGTGTTAAGTGAATCCTAAGGATTTCAATCATGGAGGCAATTCATGAACTTCATTGTCTTCAAACTCGTTGACCCTGCTAAGCATTCAACGATTTAGGCTAAGCCTGTAAGGTTAAATCTGTCAAGTTTGTCAGTTCAATGGGCTTGTGCATTGCCATCCTCCATTGGACTTGAGCGCATGGTGTGCTAAGCTGTCATTCGCCGTTAGTTCGCAGGTGTCAACCTTTTGCCATTTGTCAGCACCCGGGCGTGGCAAGCCGCTGTAAGCACAGCATGGATGCAACTAAGTCTCATCTGTATCCATTGGATTTTGGTGAGTCTTTTCTTGTGGATGTGTCATTGGACTCTCATTGTCTTGTCTTAGAGTTGTATTCCTGCCTAATGGAGGTTGGCTGCAACAGCGCCGCCCCTGCATCCGCGAATCGTTAATTCATACTTGCACGGCATCCGGTTGGATTTCATGCATTGGTAATTAAACATCCGTTTAGGATCGCCTAGGATATTCGTCAGATTGCCTTATAATCCTTTGCCCGCATAATGGTGGTTGGCTGCTCCGGCGCCGCGCCAACATTCTTTTGGACTTCATGCATCCGTAGTTAGATTGGATTTCATGCATCCGTAATTAAGCATCCGTTAGGCGCACGGATAGAAATTGCCAGGCATGGAAGATTTTTTAATGGAATCATCACATCCCTTGCTTGGAATCATCAACCGAGCCATGAGACACCGTAATAAGGCATCCGTCCGTAGGCCTGATCAACCTCGGTAATATGCTATTTCATGTTTGACCCTGTACAGTTCATGATAAGGGGGGACTTGTAAGAAATGGAGGTTTCCCGTACCCATTCTTTCAGTTGTTTAGTATCCTTCCTTACGGGTCAACATGTTGCCATTCACTTGTTTGGCTCAAGCATGGCGAAAACAGGTTGCCGCCGCTGCCCCTTGGTGTCACCGATTTTGTTTGAATCCTCTGTCGTTTTTGGGGTGTTGTTACTCAAATCAATTTATATATATAGTACGAATACGCATACGTATCAATACACATAATTCGATACACATAAATACACGTACATGCGCAATTTCTGTAGCTTCAAGCACTTACCAGCTCCATACTCTCTGTCTATTGTCACCATGTCCATGGTGAAGCTGCTCAGGCACTGTGGGGGCCGTTCTGACTCCAGAGGCGATGGCGAAGATGGTGGAGGACGGCGAGTGGCTGGGTCGCCCCGCGACGTTGGTGATGCTGGCGGTGGCTGTAGCCACTCAACATTTTCGATGGCTTGGATGGAGGGCCGTGTCGGATAAAGATCTGGTGATCAATGGGAGCGAGCATTCCATATAAGAGCCTGATTTTGATGCGAGTTCGCCCGTTCGCCCAGGTACTGATCCCGTGAAGTGATTACCCAGATGGCCAAGACATGTGAAAGCATCAAGTAGATTTCATGACACGTCTTGCATGTGATGTGACTTGCACGGCATGACATGACATGGAATATAGGACGCACCCTGCATGTGAAGATGGAACTTGCATGACACAAGATCACATGACGCACCTTGCGTATGAAGATGCGACTTGCATGGCATGCCATGAGATGGATTGCATGAGCAGATGACATTACATGTGTTGTGCGATAAGGTATCCAGAAATGCGATGATGATTGCCTTCAAGTACAGACTTATGTCGGTTAAGTTAAGTTCTGGAAGAACTTCCATGGATGCCAATCTCCAGTTTGTAGATCCATGTTCGGGCTAGGGTCGCGTCCCCTTTGGTGACAGATTTGTAGGCCCCTCAACTCTCCAATCAACTCCTACTGAGTCTTCCGTTTATGTCGTGTTTGTGCTGGCGAGATGTAACTTAGTATGTTGAGATTTCTTCTGCCTCTCAGGGATTCCTGGGGCTGCTGAAGCTGGCATTACGCAGCGATCAACGATTCAAGGAAACTCTACCGTGGGATGAGAGGGAAGATTTCCTAATGTGTGACCTGGCCGAGTCTCTTGCTAACTTGTCTACGGACTTTCGGTTCGAGTCATGTTGTGAGGGTTTTTGAAACCATGAGAAACAATTAAAAACGATGTCCTCCCCGTTTTATCATCCGATTTATTGCCACTTTTTTTGTTGGAATTCGACGGGGTGTTTGGGGTAGCTCAATTTTGAGAATTGCTTTTAGGACGTCAGTATGACTGGAATGCTGTGTGATTTTGCGACTTTGGTGGTCAGAAAATAAATTCCGAAGACAAACCGACCCGATTGGTTTAAAGTCGCAGCTGCTTTTACAGATTTTGGGGCTGTGGAAGGCAAGCATTGTCTTTCTCAAATGCAAATTGAGGTGTCAAGGCCAAAGCAAGTCCACAGGACACGGGCTGAATTTTAGCAGGGGTTAGCCTTTTCTTTGTTTTTTTTCGACATTTTCTGATTATGGGACACAAAAACCGGATCCACACACTTTGTTCGCATTTAGGCAGCGGTGCATGTTTCAAATTGCCTTGCTATTCTCTCGGCTTGTTTTCTGTTTTTCCGCTATATACATCTCCGTACTCCAGCATGTTGCACTTGAACCCGTGTGGAACGAAGGATCCGAGAGCGGGTGCAGCTGGTGCTGGTGCAGCTGATGCAGTGGAACAGCCACCACAGAACGAAGCAGAGCAACATGGGAAGACGAACGACAAGGGAGCTGATGAAGTTCAAAGCGACAGGGACGAGCAGCCCAGGGAAAACAGAGGAGACGAAGAAGTGAAGAGTGAAGAGAAGGAAGAGGAGGAGAAAAAAGACGAAGCCGCAGGCAGACCGCCCGAACATGCGGGAACAGGTTTGGGAAAATTAGGGAGCTGCCAAAGGGGAAATTGGCCCCATTCCTTTCATTGGTCTGATCCCAACATGTCCAACTATTTGGTTCCCAACCCATATCCGTGGGCCTTCTTGATGTTCTGCCAAAACTGACATTTTTCGACTGCGGAATGAGTATATATTTTTGATTGCTTGGATGTAAGTCTGTGTTTTCATCGTGCCTTGGGTTTCAGCTTTTCACGCCGTGTGTTTTGAGCAGACGGCATTTCATTGCTCTACAAATTGTACGCAAATAAAGGGTTACCTATCCATGTCGGTTAGCTCTTCTTGTTGTTGTTGTTGTTGTTGTTGTTGTTGTTGTTGTTGTTGTTGTTGTTGTTGTGGTCGTGGTTGTGGTTGTGGTTGTTGTTGTTGTTGTTGTTGTTGTTGTTGTTGTTGTTGTTGTTGTTGTTGTTGTGGTTGTCAATGTTGTTGTTGTCGTTGTTGTCGTTGTTGTCGTTGTTGTCGTTGTTGTCGTTGTCGTTGTCGTTGTCGTCGTCGTCGTCGTTGTTGTTGTTGTTGCTGTTGCTGTTGCTGTTGTTGTGGTAGTGGTAGTGGTACTGGTAGTGGTCGTGGCTGTTGTTGTTGTTGTTGTTGTTGTTGTTGTTGTTGTTGTCGTTGTCGTTGTCGTTGTCGTTGTTGTTGTTGTCGTTTCCACTTTCTGCTTGAAACCTCTCCTCTGATGTGCCCCCCTGCTCCAAGCTGGGGTCGGCGATCAAGAATCACATTCAAACACCTTTCCAGACCCGAAAAGAGAAAATTGATTTTTTGTCCAGCGCGAAGTGTAGAATCACAAACCCTACAAAAGCCACATGTGAATAGTAACTCGTGAGCGCCGTCGATGAACCTAGATTTTACTGGGGATGAAAAAAAGAACGGCCAGGTATTTGTTGATCGTGTTAGCAATGGGGCTAGGATGTTCTGATGTACGTAAAATATACATATATTGAAGGAATAGTAGATAATTAGATCTATGTACTGCATTACATAAATGTATGTATATAATATAATATTAAATAATTATATATTTATATATAGATATTGTGACATATTGAATACACATGTGACATTACTTGGAACCTGTCGATCTGTTTTGGCGCATTTCGCAGGTAGTCTGGAAAAATTGCCATCCATCTTTCGCACTGTGCGAGGCCAGTCGGTCCATGTGTTTCAGCTAACATCCCGGAGCCACTGGGGAATTGCAGAAAAACATATCCTACAAAGATCGGGCAATCCCAGGCATCGGGTTTTTTAGCTCCGCATGTTTCTCGTTCTGGTGATCTGAGCTGTGATGAAATGGCCTGGACATTAGCTGAAGGGGCCCCATGAAGGGTTTGCTGCGAGAGTTGAGGGTTAAAGACGACCTGTGTATTTTTTTTGTTCTGAGGCATTGTCGAAGGGCTCTTGGACACCATAAGCCAAGCCCTTGGCGGCGAGAATGTTCTTGACAGTATCAAAGAAGTCATCAGCAACGCAGAAAGCGGCACGATTCATCGTGCCATTGCATCGCTCCAATCGCACAGGAGCCTTATGGGAGGCCAATGGCATCGGTAGCATTGGTTCCACAGAGTTGATCCAACATGATACTGTTAGTTCATTGGGGAAGATCAGGGTTGTTGCGGCCGGCATGACATGTCTTACGAGGAGTGGAGCCGATCAAGCCACGGTTCGTGCTCTCCAACGTGGTGACACACACAAATTGTGGGTCTCCCTTCCGCAGTTGATCAGTTGGTGTCAGTTGGTTGCGCCCAAGACGGGGTTAAAGAAAATGTTTCAAACTAGGTGGTGATCTTGAAAGGTTCACCGTTGATTTCTCATTTGAATTCTTCTGAAGTACGTTTAGTGACACTTTTTCGATGTCTTCCTCAGCAAATGCTATTACTGCTGCAATACTGCCGCCTGACCGCTGATGACTGTGGGTACATGAGCAACTTATGTGCCACGGCTGAAGGCCTTTTGCATCTCCTTGATCGCTACCCCAAAATGGTAAAATGACGAGACATAAATAAATCATGGTAAATTACGATTTGGGTTTCCAAAAGTTGAGACTGCTCCACTCTAGGTTGGTTTCAGTTGATTCAGTGTCATGGTGACCCAGGTGAATGAGGAAGCGTCACGATCTCAGCTCAACAATGGCCTTAGTGTTGCTTCCATCTATGGCGTCGTCTCAGCTCATGAGGGGTGAGACCCAACTATAGGATGGAATGGGGGTTGTCCGATTATGAGGCAACTTGCTTTCGTTCTTTACATGTCGAAAAACGACCGCAAAAAAATCAGTACCTATCATGTAAAGGGCCATCCAATCGTCTTCTGGTGATCTAACCTGGCGACGGGAACTTCTTATTGGCTCAGGTCTGAGTATCCCTGGCACAGCCCCCCCGACCTCGTTCCCTGGCTTAGGTTGGATGCCGATGCAGAAGGCGAGAGAAGGACCTCGATTATTGATCCGTTTTCAGTTGAAAGATGTTTATAGTGTTTTCAAAGTTGATACAGAGAGCACGAAAAGATTAAAAAGATGCGAGGAGCGGTGCAGTGCTGGTGCCGTGCAAAATCCCTTAAGTGCCTCTGCGCACAGGAGAGATGCGACATCAGTGCGCATAGAAGGCAGCGCGGAAGACTTGTGCATTGCTCAGGTCCAGAGGGTTGGAGAAACATGAACTTGAGCATTCTTCGTTTTATCTCATACAGTTCCAAGCGTGCATGATAGTTTTTTCCAAGATGAAGGAACCTTTGTCTTAGGCCTATGGAAGGAGAGGAGTCGGTGCCTGTAGCTGAAGCTTTCGGAAGGAGGACAGGGTTGACAAGTCAGCAGGGACAGGGACTGCTGGACTGCCATCACCAAGATGCTAAGACCAGCTGTGACCTGCTGTCACTTGAGTGGAATCCCGGCGCAGCGAGGCAGACATCGGCAGCCGAGATTGAAGTGCAGTGCTGGGCCCAGGTAGCGCCGCAGGTTGGACATGGCGAGCAGATCATTAGCCGTTGCAAACGAAAGCCTAAATCACGGAGATTGCGAGCCGCGCTGAGGCCAATGAATCCTGAGGATTTTGCAGACAGGAGCTATTCCCCTTCTTCCCCTTCAGCAATGAAATCCATAGTTGCTAAGATTCCAAATCCTTCAGGCGTTAGTAAGCTGGCTTGCTCACTTTTTTTGCAGAGCTACAGAAGCTCAGAGCGGCAAACCAGTTCATTGTTCTGTAGACTTTGCAGAGGAGAGAAGTGTCACCTGTGCACGAAGCGGCACCTGTGCGTAAAGATGGTGCTGCAGAAGTGCAGGGAGAGAGCAGGTGTGGACGACGACCTCCACCACCATGTCTACTACTACAGCAGTGGCAGCCTTAAGGGGCAGACTGCTACGTGTTTCGAAGATGGGGAATTTCCCCGGCATCTGGTTCAACATGATTCAACGATTTTTCCAGCTTGTCTAGATGTCGTATTCTCACTGGTCGACCGCTGCAAGGATGTGCCCCCCTATTCACCCATGCTCCAAACTATGTTACTGTCAACCCGAGATTGCCTAATAAACCCCCTAGCCCCGAGTTGTGGATCACTGAGGGGTACCCCCCATTAATCAACCAGAGCTTATTCCATGATGTAATATGACAGGTTTTCCGCTATCTGGACATATCTTTTGACAAGTTCTGACATGATTCTGGTATGTAGATATGATATACATACTTGCATATTCTGACAAGTTCTCTGACACATATTTCGACAAATTCTCTGATACTTATCGTGACATATCGTGACATATATATCATGACATCTTCCTGGACATTTTCCCACCATTTTTCAAGCCTTTTTCTTCCGACATTTCTTCTGACATATTTTCTGACAATTTCTCTGGCATATCTTGTCACGATTTCTTCGGCCGCTATTCTGACAATTTCTATGGCATATCTTGTCACGCTTTCTTCAACCTCTAGTCTGACAATTTCTGTGGCATATCTTCAGACATAGAGTCTGGCAGCTTCTCTGAAATCAATCTACATATTTTGAAATCTATACGTCTATATACCCATATATATATACATATCTGTAACACTGTATCTGTAAATGTATATGTATATGTCTATATGGTATATGGTATATGGTTTATGTACATGTATACATACCGGGTTCTCCAAAAATAACAGCCATCCTGTCACAGTCATTGCGAAGAAACTTGCATGCCCCTTCCCCCCATGCAATGTTGTTACATCGCTTTGCTTGCATAAGCCTTCAAAAAAATCATTTCGGTTCGGATGCCGGCATGCATTGGGCAACAACATTGATCAAGGGGGCGCCGGGGGACCAGGTGTGATTTGACAACATGTAGAAGGATGGCTGTTTTTTTGAAGAACCCGGGGAATATTTTTTGGTTTATGGATGTGAAAACACAAGCTTGGACAAATTCCCTTTTGCACGTGCCAAGACCCTAGTCCAAACACACTTTCATCTTCCAAGCTGCTAGCTCCAAGGAAAGAATCAACATTGCAGCATTTGCTCCGCATGTGGGCAAAAATTGGAAATCAGAAGCTGTGTGTCTTGCATGGTGCACTAATGTAGCATGTGCCTCCACGCCTCCAGAAGCAGAATTGCGGCGTTCTGCTGATGGAAAAGCAAGGGTGCACAAACATCGTGTTTTGCACAGTGCACGCTACAGTGCACGGCCACAAAACGCTGTAAATACCACGTATTTTCCAAAAACGGTGATAACAGACAAAAAATGTTGCATATCAACGGTTAGGTAGGTCTGGGATAAGCAGCTGACTCTCACGATGCATGTTCTAACTCGATCGTTTCCCTCGCGCTCTATATATATTATAATATCTCTCTCGAGTTTATTGTATTTATATATGGAGTTTCCTTTTATTTCATACTGAGTGCAGTGTCCTGATGTGATCACTAAGGACTCGCTGCGGTCGTTTGCCATTTTGGCGCAAAGAACGAGTGATCACAGTCAGGCCACAGCTCTTTTTGATCTAAGAGGATCGCTGTTTTTAGGGCCTGGGACTGGATCACTTGAGTATGTCTTTTCCTCCTTGTAGCCCGGCTCCATTGGAACGTCAGAGAGTCAGAGAGCCATGGCAGCTGCTCGAGCCAGCGCTGGAGGTGATCACCTTGCACCTGATGACAGTGCTTCACAGGTGTCCTGGAGTGTGGTCGTAGATGAACAGCGCAATGTGGAGCCTGTTCAGGAAGTGCCAATGCAGTTCCCTGAGCCTAAGGCACCACCACCCGGTTTCAGACACCAAGGTGAGCCGGCTCCTGGCTATGCAGCCCAAGGACAGGATCAACCCAAGAGTCGTATGTCAAGCTCAAGCGGAAGCGCACCCTTCCCACCTGCTGATGCGGCTTACTTTTTCACTGACCCTGCTCAAGCCCCTGCTCAAAGTGCTGCTGCTCCAGCTACTCAAGCAGCACGTGATTTGCTTGGAAGCGCTCAGAAGCAGGCAGTTCGCCTGGCAAAGCAGAAAGCTCAGGCAAAGAGGCGTGGTCATCGTGCAATCAGGTGGGGACAGATGCCTGGCCTTGATGCTCAGAATTTCCAGCTCCCAACTTTCATCAGACAGTTGGGTGCTGGTCAAGACGAACGATCAGTGCTTGTGATTGATAGTCGCGATCGGCGCATTCAGTCCCCCTACCTGGGATGGCTGCTGGACGAGATCTTGCTGAACGCCCAGTCTGGAGTGAACGTCCTGGTCGATCGACAGCTTGTCAGATCGCCAAACAAGGGCTACCACCTCAACTTGTTCTATGTGAGGACGATGGACGGGTTCAAGTTCATTTTGGTGGGATCAATGACGTCTTACGGGACGGTGCCAGCAGCTCGCTGGGATGCAGACACGGGGAAGATCATGGCCCACCCGGCCTTTCAACCTTTTCGTTGGCCAATGATGACTGATGAATCTGCAACCTGGGTCGATGTGAAGGTCAAGGTCGAAGGAGGCCTTCTTCTACACCTTGAACTGCGCGGCTATCGATCGAACACTGACATGACAGTTCAGATGAATTACGTCAATGATGCTCTCATGGCGAACCTTAGGGACTGCCTTTTTGTGCCGTCCTGCATCGTCACGGTGTTCCACGGATGGAGGGTGGTGGCAACCTCGTTCGAGGTGGGAGGGCGTCTGTACGCCTGCAGTGATGGTGGGACGGTCGTGGCCCTGGATTTTCCTTTGTGTCATTTTGAAGTCCGGCTCACTGCGCTCTCTTCCACGGACTCGATCGGGATGGATGCAGACCGCTTAGAGTTCCGATTCAGGTCATCTGGTGATCAGCTGGACGTTGCATGTTCGCAGGTGGTGGTTCCATCAACTTGGCTGGTTGTGTCGCGTGTGTCAGGGCCCACCTTGATCAAGAACGCTCGATGGTGTCGGGAGCATCATGCAAGGGTGGAAGGCCCCGATCAGACCATGCAATTGTCGCAGCTGGCCGGGATCCATGCACACTGGACTGCATCGATCGAAGCAGAGTCTGTTGATGACACGGGCCCGAGGGTGAGTGCGGTCGCGGTGGACTCTCACCCGGCCAACTATCACCTCACCTGTGAGTCTCCCTTGTTCAGGGCAGCGAAGTCGTTGGTGCCAACTGATGCACTTGCTCTGCAGGCGCACAATGTGGCTCTGGAACAGGAGACGATCGTGCTCCCGCCAGTGACGGGTGGGCCATCAGTGGTGCCAAGATCATCAGTTGCGGCCCCTCTACAAGCATTGGCTGGACCGTCGGCTCCTGCACTGGTTGTGGCGCCCAATGTTCAAGCCGAAGTCTCTATGACTGAACCGGGTCAAGCCCCAGCCTCGGGAGCCATGGGAGGCTCGGTACATGTGCAAAGGCGATCGCTTGAAGCTCGCCAACAAGAGAGGATCTCAGTGGCAGCCGTGACGCCACAAACTTTTCTTGATCAGGTGTATCAGGCGGTCCCGGGACGCCCAGTCAGTTTTGGACCGGCTCCGACCGTTGAAGAAGTGACGGAGACCTGACCTTGATCAAGGGGTTTGAAATTCACCGAGTTTGCAAGGTGGCCGAATGTATCAGGCCACAGCACGATCGCTGGCCGAATGCTCTGAAAAATCATTGGCTGCTGCAAGAGCTGTGCAAACACCCTCAGTTTAGGTCTCTTGTTTTCCCCTGTTGTTCACCCTGGTTTTTCCTTGTTTTGTTTTTGTGTTTAACTTGGGTCAACGGGTTTCCTAGGGACCTAATTTCTGAGGTGTTTGCTCGTTGAGACCCCACAATTTCGAACGGGTGGGACTTGATCACATCCAGCTCGTTCATGGGGACGGCTCTTATATTTTTCACTCGGCCCAGGCGAGGGCCCCAGTTTGCTCGGCTGTGGGATCTCAGACCGGACGTGATGTTAGAGCGACTGTTCCGATATGGGGTATGATCTCCATAGCTCTGGTCAGTCATCTTTCTCTGTTTGGTCGATCGACCACAAAAAGCTGTTCAAGTTTTTGCGTCAAGAATTTTGTTCACGATTTATGCACTGATACGATTTGATGTATCTCGTTAATTTGATTTTAAATTGCTCTTTGATGCCATGTCTGTGATACCACCTCATGCAGTTGTTCACACATGTTTGCATGTTCATGCATTTGAGGCGTTAAGGTTCGAGGTGCAATGAATGCTCTCTTAACCGACCTGACACTCTCATGTGTGCACTGTTCATGTTGAGTGGGGGTTCACAGGGAAGTCATGGCTCAAAGTTCTGATCGCTGAACATCTAAGATTTTGTGTCTTCCAATTTTCTCTGATGCCTTTGCTCAGGCCCTGTTGGTGTCGCCTTATGCCAATTTGGCGCTGGTGTCAGCGATGGAGGTGCGATCAGGCCCGGAGTTCACCGTGAAAGTGCACGACTGGTCAGCATCCTTAGAGGAGACCGTTCGTGATGTCTTGCTCAGCAACAGTTTCATGCTGGAACAGTTTTGGAGTCTAGCTACTTCGATCGAGAAGGCATTTTTCGAATCCTCTGCAAATCAGCTGGGTTTTGGGCAGTGCGATCCGACTACTTTGGCGTTGAGTGCCGAGACCGCTAGTGCTCGTAGGGCAAATGCCATCAAAGCTCTGTTGCACAAGCCGGCTCAACCGCCCAGGAAACTGCTCAAGAAGTCTGATTCGGATCCGACGTCCACACCGCTGTTGGACCAGGAGAATGCCGCTCGGTGGAAGTGGGCTTCTAAACTGGAGGCCATAGGGAAACGGGCGGGTCAACACTCTAAGCTCTTCCTGGATACCACAAACAGCGAAGGGCTCTCGCCGGGTGAGACCGCTCGGCTACGCCAATTAGTGTTGGCATCGGGGGCTCCACGGACTATGGCGGCCCACATCTCCGCATGGGAGCGGTTCGAGGAGTGGGCCAATAGTGTTGGGATCCCCGTTTTTCCTTTGTCCTCTGATTTGATTCTGAAGTATGCTCTAGCTCTTGATGAGAAAGAATGTGGTCCCACAGTTTTGCCTTCTTTTAGGATGTCAATTAAGTGGGTAACATCTAAACTGGCGATCGACTGTCCTGATTTGTCCCATCCCGCTCTGTTGGCGGTTCAGTCGGACATCATTCAGAAAAGGGCCACCACATTGAAAGAAGCCCAGCCCATCCCGATCGTGGCGGTCGGAAGTCTGGAGCAGTTCGTCACAGACGTGCAGCAGCCAGAGGCGGCTAGGCTCTTTGCATGGTGGTGGCTTTGCATGGTCTTTGCATCGCTGAGGTTCGATGATGCCATGCATGTCAGGCCAACTGAGCTGATCATGCAAGACGAAGGGCTATTTGGCGTCGCTTGGCAGACGAAAGTCGAGCGCAAACGCCGTGGCACGAAGTTCGTAGTGCCGAGAGTTGGCTTTCGTGATTCAGCCTGGCTTGACGTTGGCTGGGACCTTTTGCAGCTCGAAGATTTGGATCGCGACTTCTGGATGAGGGACTTGAACACCCAGACGGAGTTCAGGTCCGCACCAGCTCAATATCAACGTTCCATTCAGTGGCTGCGTTTCATTGGCAAGCTCGCCATCAAGACCTACTTCAGTGGGCCTGAGGGCAAGCTCAATGAGGCCGTGGACGGGTTGCTCAAGGTGGTGGATCGCACCGTGTACACCCCGGACAAGTTGCCGGAGATCCATGGCGGCAGATCTTTGGTCGGCAACGAGTTCCGGAAGACTTGTGCCGGCTCGTGGCTGATGTGGGTCTCCGCAGCGTGGAAACGTTCGCCATGCTGGGGGACACGATCACAACGGTCAAGCAGACTTTGAAAACGATCATACCAGATCCTGCTCGTTTCGGCGATGATGCGCCGGCGCAGGAGCTTGCTCTTACAGCTCTGGCAGCCGTCTGGAAGCAGTGCTCCACCATGCAAGATCACTTCGCAGCTCGGCGAGCCAAAATGGAAGAAGACCCCAGCAAGGTCCCGGAGATTCGAGGCGAAGATCATGCTGAGTTTCGTGACACGTTCGTGGCTCGTCACCCTGACGTGCTCTTGCCCATGCATCGAGAGCCTCATCGGAAGTTTGTCGAACGTGTTCAACGAGACTACTTGGTGCACAGCTTTGTTCGCTTCTACGAAGTCGGCGAGATCCGCACCAGGAATGAGCAGATCGCTCAAAAATCTGGGCTCTCCAAAAACGCAGAGGATCTTCTGCGAGTGGTAATGGTAGATCAGCTTAGTGCGGCTAGTTCAGAATCTCAGGTGATGGACAAACTGCATGCGTTCTTCATTACCTTAGAAAATACTTGAACATCTGCGAGTTCTCCGTGGCAGCCGGGCCTCTGAAATACTTGTCTGATCTGGAGGAGTGGCGCCACGAGAACCGTGGCCTGGCCTTGCTCTTGGCGGCTGATGCGTTGATCCGCAAGAAAGTCCATCGAGTAAGCTCTGATCAGCGCAAGACATTTGGCACGTTCTCTGCAGCCTTGCTTGAGGTCTTGACCAACCACAAACAGCTGTGGAATGACGCTCGATCAAGCGCAGAGTTGGACAAGTTCAAGCAGGTGCTGCAGACTACGGCGCCATCTACACCGTTGAAGAAGCGCTCCAGATCTCGCTCGCAGTCAGCCCCAAAGGCTTCACCCAAAGCTCGAAAGAACAGGGCTCGTCGTGAACGCCAGAAGGCTTTGCTCAAGAAGGCCAAGGTTGGTCACGCTTCAACGCCACCTCCAAAGCCGGATCAGGCCAAGAAACCCGCTCGAGATGAACGGGTCCCGGCCCACGAATGGAGAAGATTACTTCGTTCAAGTATCAAGGAGCCAAGCGATGCCCCTTCTTCAACTGCTCACTGGGATGCCGCTTTGGTGATCAATGCCGCCAGAAGCACAGCTGTGTAGAATGTGGTAAAGATCACCCGTGGCATGGCAACCACTGAGCTCGGCCCAACTTTGAAGGGCCTCAATGGAAGCGCCCCCCGGTCAATGGAGCTGTCCAGCCACAGTGTGTCATGATGACCCGTCGGCATCTGCGCCGTCCGGTCGGAAAGCGGCTGATCCTGAGCCGTTCACTGTGCCTGGTTGGTCCCAGTTGACCGAAGATTTCACCATTTTGCGCTCGCATGGCCCATTTTTCCTGGACATTTTTGCTGGCCAAGCAGGCATCACAGAAGCTGTTCAGCTGATGGGAGTGCCTGCGCTGCCGCCGGTGGATGTGGTCGTCTCCGATCTGGTCAACGAAGCAGCCGACGTGTTGGATCTTGCAGTGTGGGAGACTATCATGGCAATCATTGCTGCCAAGCTGGTCTTCTTGCTCCATTGTGGCACGCCGTGCAACACCTTCACGGCAGCTCGCAAAGATGATGGAGGACCTCCTCCACTGCGCTCTCGCGATGCTCCTCTTGGCCTCCCAGGACTCAGTTGGCAAAACCAAGCTCTTGTTTTTATGGGTAACCTGTTTTTGATCCGAACTTGCGAAGCTTGTACTCTTGTTTTTAATCTTGGAGGGAATTTCACGATTGAGAATCCCCTGTTGAGCCTCATGTGGGCTACGGCAATGATGGACCAGCTCGTCCATGACACACGAGCTTTGGCTGTTGATTTCGATCAATGCGCCTTTGGGGCTCCGTCCAAGAAGCCCACACGTTTATTGTGCTCAGCCGAACATTTTGAGGTGCTCCAGGTACTTTGTCCAGGAGGGCACGTGCACGAGTCTTTGAGAGGCAAAGTGTTCGACCCCCTCCAGGGCAAACTGGTGTTCAAGACCAAGGCTGCGCAGGTCTATAGCCTTGGGCTTTGTGTGCGGCGTTCGCCAGCGTTGCTCATGATCTATGGCAAGATCCTCTTCATGCTCTACAACCCTCGCTGCAGCTGACCACACCCCCTGCTGATCGCAAACGCGCAGTGGGCTCCTGCAAACCGTGGCTCGGACACAAGCAGGAGGAGTCGGCTCTCAAAGCGCTCTGGGCGGGTTATCAGCTGAAGCGGGGCGTGGCCAAGCCTTTGTTGCATGTGGAGATGGAACCTGGCCAAGCGATCGAGGCGGCACTGAACGTGATCCACCCCTTCACCATTGAGGCTCCTCTGGCAGCGATGGAAGAAGCAGCCGTCCTCCAACTACGGCGCCCGTCGGAGGTGATCATGGCTGAGCGGGCTCGGTTGCTACAATTTTGGCATAATGATGAGGCAGTGGCTTTATTGCCCCGCTCAGTGGCAGCGATACGGGCGCTGCCCGATCCCCATCTGCGGCGCCTGCTCCTTGGCACTGACGATCTTTCAGTGCCGCGCCTTGGTCAAGTTTGCCACGTCGCACTGTACGAGGCTATGCTCACGGCGTGCGGCTCTGTGGATCAGTCATTGGCCTTCTTTTCTCTTGCACGGTTTTCCGATCGTTGGTGAGATCGCTCGTTCTGGTCGATGGCCTCCCTACAATAAGCCCCAGAAAGACATCCCGGTGCAAGACGCATTGGATAGGGCCTGGGTTCTTCGGAAGAAGATCATTCAACGTGTTCAATCAGTACTGATCTCTGACAACCTTCAGAAGATTTGGGATGCATCGATCGAAGATGTTGAAGAGAAATCGTGCTTGGGGCCCTTTGTGTCTGAAGAGGAGGTCACGAAAGCTCTTGGTTGCGGATCCCAACTCAGAGATTCGAAGTTGTTCAGAAGAACAAAGTTCGTGGTTGTGACAGCGCCACGACAAACATGATCAATCAGATCACCCGGATCTCGGAGAAGCTACAACTGCCTTCTACAGACACGAATGTCGCAGCTCTGCGCAAGTTGAGAACGGTCAAGCCTGGTGAGAAGCTGGCGGGGTGGGTGCTCGACGAGCGCAAAGCCTATCGGCAAGTAGCAGTGCGACCTGATCATCGGAAGTTTTCTGTAATTTGCTTGAAGAATCTGAAGACTGGCGCTCCCAATTTCTTTATCATGGTAGGTCACTCATTTGGCTTGGTCTCAGCTGTATACACCTACAATCGCCGATCGGCGGCCATTAACGAGTTCTTGGTCTCGCTGTTCGGCTTGGTGGCTTCAGCTTCTATGATGATAAATATGGGTTTGAACCTCTAGCGATCGCGGGAAGTGCTCGAGCAGTAGCTGAACATGTTCATTTCTGGTTAGGTGCAAAGTTTGATCAGAAGAAACTGCAGCTATCTACAGAGCCCACGATCCTAGGGGTGACATTACAACCTTGATCAGATGCAGCTGGAGATCAAAGCTGAGCGAAGAGAAGAGATCACCCAGGAGATTGAGGCGATCGTGAAGGCAGGCATTCTAGACCCTGGCTCGGCAGGGAAGTTGAAAGGCAAGCTCATGTTTGGCGCTTCGCAGCTCTGGGGAAAAGTTGGACGAGCTTTTCTGAGGGTCATTTCTGAGCGCCAATACCTTCGTTTCCCGATCGGTAGTGAGTTCAAACTATAGATCAACCTCTGCTTGAATCTTTGCTCCACTGGAAGAAGTTGGTCAATGAGGGACCGCCGAGGCCGATCGAATCAGCTTCAGCTAAACTGGTGGATGCAGTGATTTTTACAGATGGTTTCACGCCGGATCCCAGGAAGAAGGAATGTTTGCCTGATCGCGTAGGAGCCGTTCTTTTTGATAGGCGTTTGAAAAGGCCTATGCAATTCACGTCGGTTGTCTCCAAAGCCGTTAAGAGGCGGTGGCTTGAGCGCTCGACTCAGATTGTTCCTGTTGAGATGGTCGCAGCTGTTCTAGCCCTGGAGACTTTTGCTGATAGGATCCGTGGTTCAGATCATGCTCATAGATGTATTTTGGGATCTTGCGTTTCAGCTCCGAGTGCGGGTTTTTATCGATCGGATCTCGACTGACGCCAACCCAGCCGATTGGCCATCAAGAAATAAACTTTCCATAGGCGAGGCCGCAGGCTGGATCACAGTGAACCCCTGCTGGCCGAAGGCTCTGTTTGAGACTTAGGAGAGGGCCTGGGTCAGTGACTAAGCTCAGTTTTATTTGCTCTCACCACATGCTTTGACCTGCCTGTGAAAGGCTCTGTGTTCAAGCGTTGTTTGGTTTGAGTCTATTTTTGAGCCTGGTCATTTGGCTTATGCATCTTACTGATCTGATGATCTGATCAGTTGTCTCTGACAGTGACCTGCTCGCCCCATGCCCTGAGCAGCGTCCGCAAAAAGGATCTTTTTGCACATGCAGCTGTTCAGGCGGGTCGGTTTCTTGGATTGGGTTTTGATCAGTTAGAAAGTAAGAGGTATCCTCTCTTACGTTCATGAACGAGTAAGTCTGTTGCATATCAACGGTTAGGTAGGTCTGGGATAAGCAGCTGACTCTCACGATGCATGTTCTAACTCGATCGTTTCCCTTGCGCTCTATATATATATATATTATAATATCTCTCTCGAGTTTATTTTATTTATAAATGGAGTTTCCTTTTATTTCATACTGAGTGCAGTGTCCTGATGTGATCACTAAGGACTCGCTGCGGTCGTTTGCCATTTTGGCGCAAAGAACGAGTGATCACAGTCAGGCCACAGCTCTTTTTGATCTCCCAACCCAGCCCGCCCTCGTGAATGAGGGTGGGCTGGATGTCCAGCCCACATATTTTTCGGTGGGGTCAATGACTAAGCTCAGTTTTATTTGCTCTCAGCACATGCTTTGACCTGCCTGTGAAAGGCTCTGTGTTCAAGCGTTGTTTGGTTTGAGTCTATTTTTGAACCTGGTCATTTGGCTTATGCATCTTACTGATCTGATGATCTGATCAGTTGTCTCTGACAGTGACCTGCTCGCCCCATGCCCTGAGCAGCGTCCGCAAAAAGGATCTTCTTGCACATGCAGCTGTTCAGGCGCGTCGGTTTCTTGGATTGGGTTTTGATCAGTTAGAAAGTAAGAGGTATCCTCCTCTCTTACGTTCATGAACGAGTGAGTCAAACCAATATTTTTGTTTTTTCCCCCAACAGCGTGAGCTAATGGGGTCTTCAGCCCAGAATAGCTCCGGTGTGCACTGGTTGGTGCAGGCGCCGGGTCGACCAGGTTCAACGAGGTTCCGGAGAAGGTTCCGGATGTTCGCCAGAAGTGTTCTGGGAGGCTTTAGTGAAGAGCCAGATCAAGTTCAACAGGGTTCCAGAGAAAGTTCCGGAGAAGGTCTGGGAGCCTTTGGTGCAGAGCCAGGTCAAGTTCAACAGGGTTCCGAAGAAGGTCCCGGAGAAGGTTCCGGGAGACTTTGGTGCAGAGACAGGTCAGGTTCAACAGGGTTCCGGAGAAGGTCTGGGAGGCTTTGCTGCAGAGGTAGGTCAGGTTCAAAAGGGTTCCGAAGAAGTTCCTGGAGAAGGTTCTGGTGCAGAGCCGGCGGCTCAGGTTCAACAGGGTTCCGGAGAAGGTTCCAGAGAAGGTCTGGGAGGTTTTGGTGCGGAGCCAGGTCAGGTTCAACAGGGTTTCGGAGAAGGTTCCCGAGAAGGTTCCGGGAGGCTTTGGTGCAGAGCCAGTTCTGATTCAACAGGGTTCCGGAGGGAAAAAGTTCCGGAGAAGGTTCCAGCAAGCCTTGGCGCAAAGCAAGGTCAGGTTCAACGGGGTTCCGGAGAAGGCCTGGGAGGCTTTGGTGCAGAGCCCTGCAGGTTCAACAGGGTTTCGGAGAAGGTTCCGGAGAAGGTTCCGGGAGGCTTTGGTGCAGGGCCAGGTCAGGTTCAACGGGTTCAGGAGGAAGTTCCGGAGAAGGTTGCAGAGAAGGTTCCGGAGAAGTTTGTTTTTCTTCTTTTTGTTTGCATGCATGTGCACACTGGGGATTTGTTATGCGGCTGTTGGGGATACCACCGAAGTTTATTTTTGGAAATTGTTCTAGAAGTGCTAACCCCATGATATTTACAGCGTTTTGCGTCTGTGCACTGTGGTGCGCACTGTAGCGTGAAATTGTGCGTGCGCCGAACGTGACCTGTGCAAACACGCAGTTTGTGCAATTCTGCTTCTGGAGGCGTGGAGGCACATGCTACAGTAGTGCACCGAGCGGTCCAATTTTTGCCCACGTGCGGGGCCAATGCTGCAATGTCACTTCTTTGTTTGTGGCTAGCAGCTTGGAAGATGAGAGTGAAATTGGATTAGGGCTTTGGCACGTGCAAAGGGGAATTTGTTCAAGCTTGCGTTTGCACATCCATAAACCGAAAAATCTTCCCCGGACTCCTGTAACCACAATCCAAACACACTAAGCGTAAGCAAATGGGGTCTTCAGCCTAGAAAAGCCACAGGGTGCACTGGTGCAGGTGCGGGGTCAGGTTCAACGAGGTTCCGGAGAAGGCTCCGAAGGTTATCGGAGAAGGTCTGGGAGGCTTTGGTGCAGACAACAGGGTTCTGGAGAAGGTTCGGGGGAAGGTTCCAGAGAAGGTCGGGGGAGGCTTTGGTGCAGAGCCAGGTAAGTTTTCTCAGAGTTCCGGGGAAGAGTTCCGGGGAAGGGTTCCGGAAAGATTCCAGAGAAGGTCTAGGAGCCTTCGGCGGTTGTCAGGTTCAACAGGGTTCTGGAGAAGGTTGGGGAGAAGGTTCCGGAGAAGGTTTGGGAGGCTTTGGTGCCGAGCCAGGTGAGGTTCAACAGGGTTCCGGAGAAGATTCCCAAGAAGGTTCCGGAGAAGAATCCGGAGCGGAGGCTTTGGTGCAGAGCCAGGTCAGATTCAACAGGGTTCCGGAGAAGATTCCGGAGAAGGTTCCGGTTGGGAGGCTTTGGTGCAGAGCCAGTTCAGCTTCAACAGGGTTGTGGAGAAGCTTCCGGTGAAGGTCTGGGAGGCTTTGGTGCAGAGCCAGGTCTGGTTCAACAGGGTTCCGGAGAAGGTTCCGAAGAAGGTCTGGGAGGCTTTGCAGAGCCAGGTCAGGTTCAACAGGGTTCCGGAGAAGGTCTGGGAAGCTTTTCCAGCCAGGTCAGGCTCAACAGGGTCTTGAAGAAGGTTTGGGAGGCTTTGGCGCAGAGCCAGGTCAGGGTCAACAGGATTTGAGGGCATGTAAATTACAGAAACTCAGCTGAGGTGTTTCCAGCGCTTGGCTTCGCAGCACGCTTCAGAAAGATGTGTAAACATAAAATGTTGCCGCTGTTGAAGATACCACCTGAAGCATATTTTTTTTAGGGGGAAATTGCCCAAAAAGTTCTAATCCCTTGATATTTACAGCATTTTGTGGCCTGTAGCGTGCACTGTGCGTGCAATGTACGTGCGCTGTAGAAAACACGCAGTTTGTGTTTGTGCAATTCTGCTTCTGGAGGCGTGGGGGCACATGCTACATTAGTGCACCAAGCTGACCAATTTTTGCCCATGTGCGGAGCTAATGCTGCAATGTCGCTTCTTTGTGGCTAGCAGCTTGGAAGATGAGAGTGTGTTTGGATTAGGGTTTCGGCACGTGCAAAAGGGAATTTGTTCAATCTTGCGTTTGCACATCCATAAACCACAAGACCTTCTTGTTGCTGCTTTGTTTGTGGCTAGCAGCTGTGAAGGTGAAAGTGTGTTTACATTGTTGTTTTTGGCACGTGCAAACGGGAGTTTGTCCAAGCTTGTGTTTGCACATCCATAAGCGAAAAAATCTTTCCCGGACTCAGTCTTGTGGCCGTGCACTGTGCGTGCACTGTGCAAAACACGCAGTTTGTGCAATTCTGCTTCTGGAGGCGTGGAGGCACATGCTACATTAGTGCGCCAAGCTGTCCAATTTTCGCCCACGTGCGGAGCTAATGCTGCAATGCCGCTTCTTTGTTTGTGGCTAGCAGCTTGGAAGATGAGAGTGAAATTGGATTAGGGCTTTGGCACGTGCAAAAGGGAATTTGTTCAAGCTTGCGTTTGCACATCCATAAACCAAAAGACCTTCTTGTTGCTGCTTTGTTTGTGGCTAGCAGCTGTGAAGGTGAAAGTGTGTTTTTATTGTTGTTTTTGGCAAGTGCAAAAGGGAGTTTGTCCAAGCTTGTGTTTGCACATCCATAAGCCAAAAAAACTTTCCCGCTGAGTCCGGGTTCTTCAAGAATAACAGCCATCCTGTCACAGTCATTGCGAAGAAACTTGCATGCCCCCTTCCCCCCCATGCAATGTTGTTACATCGCTTTGCTTCGATAAGCCTTTGAAAAAAAGGCCATTTCGGTTCGGATGCCGGCATGCATTGGGTAACAACATGTGGGTGGATCAGGTGTGATTAGACAACATGTAGGAGGATTGCTGTCTTTTCAAGAACCCGGTATGTATGTATGTATGTATGTATGTATGTATGTATGTATGTATGTATGTATGTATGTATGTATGTGTGTGTGTATGTAATGTAATGTAATGTAATGTAAGGCAATGTAGTGTAATGTAATGTAATGTAATGTAATGTATGTACGTATGTGTGTATGTTTGTGTGTATGTATGTAATGTAATGTAATGTCATGTCATGTCATGTCATGTCATGTCATGTATGTATGTATGTACGTATGTGTATATATGTATATGTATATGTATATGAATATGTACGTGTATATGTATATGTACATGCATATGTATGTGTATATGTATTTGTATATGTATGTGTATACATATGTTTATTTACAAGTGGACATATATATTTAGATATGGATGCACACACATATAAATAGATGTGAAAAGATGCACAGAGACATAGATACATATATATATATATAATATATTTAGATATAGATATGCACGTACATACATGCATGCATGCATGCCTGCATGCATGCATGCATGCATGCATGGTATGCATCCACCCATCCATCCATCCATCCAAACATACGCACATACATACATACATACATGCATCCATCCATCCATCCATCCAATCATACATACATACATACATGCATCCATCCATCCATCCAAACATACATACATACATACCTACATACATACATACATGCATACATACATACATACATGCATACATACACACACACACATTCTGACAGTTTTTCTGACAAATATGCTATGACTGGTGCAAATCCCCGGGCGAGCTAGCTATCTGGGACGAGATTCAGACGCAGAAAACTCGTGAGCTAGCAATGCCAGGAGGGCAGAGGAGAAGGAGGAGGAAGAGGAGGAGGAACTGACACAAAATTTACGCTCGCATGACAGGCAGGGAAATTTGGAAAAATTGTGATGGTTTTGACTTGGGTCCAATCTGAGACTGCTGGCAACATCTTGTTCTCAGGCAGCCTAGGCCTAGAGCTTCCATGATCGAGATGATCGGATGCTTGGATCATCTTGGATCATTTTGGACCACCTTGGGTTGTGGGACTCATCAGTCAAAAGGGGCATGGTCAGTCTGTTACCCTGCTGGTTGCACCAAAATAGCTAGTACCCAGCGGTGGTGTCATAGGTCCTGACAAAGCGACAGAGGGTTGTCAGGCATTTTCAAGTACACCCAAAGAAGTATTTGCCTCCTAGCATGGATCTATTATCATCTACTATCTATTTGATCTATTTGGTTTTTTTAGACGCATTCGAGCGCGGAAATGTGAGGCATGAAAGATGGATGTTTCAAGTTCAAAGTGGAGTTGAACGATCTAATATCAAAACCCCGCAAATGCGAATCTTATTCCTTTGTGCAAATGTTAAAGTTTAGCTTTCATGTTTCGGAGTAAAAAATCTGATGAAACGACTAGAAGTAACACTCCCTCGCAGAAGGAGGACATGTCGTAGATTTAAATTGCGCAACTGAAATGGGCCTGCCTTTCCCCATTTCAGGGCAACTTCAATAGGGAACATGATGATCAAGTCAACCATCAACTTTGGGTCTGACATTTTCAGGCCCCATTAAGCCATGTTTTCAACCAATGCTCTTGGGCCCGGCGGCCCCATTTGTTTTCCTGAGGGGCTGCATTCCGGGCCGCACAGAGAAGAAGTGCCGCGCTCTTCGCCAAGGCCTGCGAGAAATCACCATTTGCTACAGGTAATTCATGTGTAAAATGGATGCCAATATATTGGTGATTATGGGTGTGTCCATGAAACTTGGGGATTGAGTACCCCACGGTGAAAGAATGAGCAAACATGATCCCAACCATGAGATGATGCCATCAACGATTCAAAACTGGTGATAACCCCCCTGGGTAGTTTGCAGAGTTCCCAGGCAAGGGCCATGCATGGACGCCTGGCCGAAGATGGAGCAGGTCACGTGGTGAAGCTGTCGACTGAGTTGGGCAAGACCAATCACTTTTTCGGTTCTTCTGTCAGCATCAGCAGGGTTCCTCCTCGTGTTGCTTGTGCATGTTGTCTCAAATCCGCTTTTCTGGCCCGTATTTAATCAACTCCGTTGATCACTGTGATGAGCCAGGTGCAGCGAAAAGGTACCTTGAAAGCAACTTTTTTGGCCGAGTGTTCATGCTCTTCCCAGCGGTCCACAACTGGCTCAAACTGTCCCAGTTCAGCATCTTGGCTTCAGTCCCTAAAAGTGCTTTCAAGGAGCGCGACTCTCCCTGAAAGGAAATGCGCCTGATTTTCCTCTTCCCAAGTCAACCAGGTGAGTTTTTCTTCTGAGCACGGGCGGATTTTGCGTCCGGCACATTGCTGGAACAAGATAGTTTGAATAGCTGGCAAAAAGACATTGGTACTGGCAAACAACCGTGGCCTTCAGATTGAAGTTTAGCCATGAGATCTGCAGCGGAAAAATGCTAGACTTTTATAGACTTGTACTGAAAGTCATGAGGACTCATATCTACTTGGACATATTAGGACGCTTTTAAAAATGACGCTTCGGGACAAATATATTTTCGTTCGGCGCTCGAACACTACTATCGGAGCATTCTTGCCCGTGTTGGATGCTTGATTCTTGAAAACGATAAATTTGCTGGTTACAACCCCCAACAACGCTCCATGTACGGTACAGGTCCTACAAGGCCAAATTTACAAAAAATGGGAAATCATTTGTAGCAAAACGCGCAAGGACCATAAGATATCTGGTGTTGGGTCAAGGTATTCTATCTGATGATTCATCAACGTGGATATTACATGGGAGTCGGTCATCATTTTGTTTTAAGATTGGATCGAATCAGTCGGTTTCCTCTACAGTTTGAGGCAAAGCCACAAAGCCCGGTGTCTGAACGGAGCCAGGGCCGACCGCCCCAGGCATTGTCGTGCCGTGCGTCATCCGAACAGAGCTGATTGAATTGAAGGCAAGGCCCAATTTTTATTGTATAAACTCAAAAGCGGCATTGGAACCGACAAAATATGCATACCTGAGGTGAGAATTTAAATGGTGAAAGGCAGGGCTTACCTGAAATTGGGGAATCTGGAGAAAAGCATGACAAACCGAGGGGTAAGGGGAGGGTTCTTCAGAAACCGGAGGCCCACTATACAATGCAATTCATTTGCCATAATGGGGCTCAAAAGGCAAACGAATGGGAACTTTCGAGTGCCCGAATCTTTAGAGACGTCCACATGGAACTGCCAGATTTGCGAGCCTACGGGACCAGGCTCATATTCCATTGGGATGATCATCAGCAATCACATGCAATCAATATATGTCCGTGTCGCAAACATTGCAAACATTGCAATTTAGGCCCATTTTGAACAAGCTCAACAGATCACGATGACGTGAATAGACCAAAAAAATGGATATGAGGATACCGGGAGACCCCATGGAAGCATTTCTCCTTGGGATGTGGGATGAAGCTCATTTTTCCTGACCAGGTCTGGAGTTGTGCCTTTCTCAACGCCGTTTTCTTTTCGAGCACATTACCGCCGCCAGATTCTGATCCAGCATGCAGACCCGAATCCGAAGCTTGGCGCAATGCGAACGGTCGCCAAATAAATTGTTGGCTTCTTGCATGTGGCACTGGATTTGAGATGATTCGAGAATTTAAATGGACCTTGATAAGGTCCTACATCTCGGATGATTCACTCTAGAATACTTTCGAATACTGTGCTCTCATTGTCCTGGTCCTGATAAGATAAGATTTTTCCATTGCGTTACTGGCTCTGACTCTAACTTGTGATCAGCACCCACTCCCAGGGTTCCGTGGCATATTGGGCGCAAAAATTCACTGTTGGCACTGTAACTTGGCAATTTAATCACGAATTGCAGCAATGACTGTGCACACTGGAACTGGGACTCCATTATTCAACAGCGATCGGGCGGAAACAAGTCAACGCCCTTCTACATCCTTGCGACACTTTGCGCGCGCGCGCACACACACACACGATGTCTCCCTAGCTGGACCTCAGGTATCTGCCACCGTTGGAGATTTTATCATCCTCCTGCTATTTCTGATGGTTAGAATTAGAATCGAAGAGCGGGACGAGTGGACTGATGAAGACAAAACTGAACGGCGAAAGTGGTGGCGCAACAGGACCCTAAGAGATATGTGAAGGTACCGGTCCAAAATTGACCCCGGGTCTGGAAATTGTGTGTTTGGCCCCTGTCCCTATGATACTCCAGTTTCGGGCGCCCACATATACATGGCCACTAAAAAGGAGTCACGACCGAATATCCGAAGGCCGAGTGCCATCAACACGACCTGCAGGACCATTGCATTCTGGTTCATTGCTGTCCCTTGGCTGCGTCCACAGATGTCGTCAGCATTCCCTGCAAGTTGCAGTTTGCATCCTTTCGGCCGAGGTCTTGTACAAGAGCTTTTGCATTTTCTACGTCTGTGCCTTTATTGCCAACGTCAGCAAGGCAAGATCCCGAGCAATTTGTGGGGCTGTTGAGATGATGAAGCATGAGTCTGTCACTAGGTGACACGGATTATTGGCGCTGGTTGTGCAGCTTAAACCTGCCTGTGTGTATATATATATATTTATATTTTTGGGCAAACGGAATTGCCCTGGAATAGCCCATAAGCTTCGTTATATATTTTTGATGCCAGGCTTAAACGATTAGCAAAACCAGGGCGAGTGCCACCACATACTAGTAGCAGTGTGCAAATAAAGGATGTAAGATCAGTGAGATCATATGAGATCACAAGTATGGAAAACAAGAAACAGAGCCCATGTCCGGAGCTTAAGTCTCCAATGTGCAACCAGCAAAAAAAAGCTGCAAAACCCCATGTCTGGAGTCTTTCAAATCTTGAAGCCCGGACATGGGTGCCATATTTTTGTATCTTCCCGGTTTTTTGCTATTTTTGCCCAAAACTGCTTCACATCACAGAGACATGTTCAGCACGCAGCGTGTATGTGTGTTCACAGACAGCTGCCATGACCGGCCGGCGTTGATTTCGAGAGATTCGTTCTCTGGTCACCATTGCCGAATTGTGCCGTCACAACTTCAGTAATTATTCATCTTGTCTGCTCATACAGAAGACTTGAGGTTTGCATTTTACAGCCTAAAGCTTGGGAGAGAGTCAAGGGGCGTTTCTCTGTCATGCGACAAGCATGACGCATCATCTGGACGTCATCTTGTCAGCTGTCTCTGCGCCAGACTTGACTCTCAGGTCTGCTTGGACCATGTCGTCGTTGAATCACCCAACATGGTTTGAAACCTGGGAGCTTTCACCACCTCAAACGCCTCCTCCTCACCAGCTACGGGCGTGTATCGATTGTAACTCCAAAATCATTATCATCATCGTCATCATCATCATCATCATCATCATCATGGCATAGCAAATAGTCCCTGTGCCAAGAGCCAAAGGACGTTATCACACCCCACTGTACCTGCAGTCAACTAGTTGAACTGTTGATTTTGGTTTCTGTTTATGGTTGTGCTGTGTTTGAACCATTCGGAAGCATCTTTCCTGTTGTCAGGATAAATTGTCTTAAATAAGGAACTTCAACAGGCGACGGCAACCTCATCCTTGTAAAGATCCAAGTCAAAGTAATTCAATTACTCCCTCAGCAGTCAGTGTGTGTGTGTGTTTGTGTGGCATTTTTTGTTTCTTGTTCGATCGTGTAATTTCTTCTTGTTCGGTATGTATTCTTTCGCAAGGGCTCCCCCAATTCAGGAATTTGATGATTTTATACGGTGCTTTCAAGGTGGCGCGAAGATGATTGGGTTCATAGATAAAACTCCAGTGGATTATTTCCATTACTTGCGCATAAAATCATTTTCGTACCTGTATTCGGCCCCCAGGAGGATGCCAACCAGTTGCTGGAGGCTACTGCAATGTCCCTGCTGCAGGAACTCGTGGAAAGTCCCTGGGTTTGGTGTGTAATGTGTCAACCTCGTGAAAAACCTGCCAAATTCAGGTCTGGGTACTTTTTTTTTACAATAAATTAAAGGACCGGATAACCCCACAAGGCAACTTCTTCCAATAATGAGCACCAAATGTTGTAGCGGGGACGCGGAAGGAAGGAAGGAAAGACAAAGGAGGTGGTGGAGGATCGAGAAGTAAAACAAAGTTGTGTGTGACAAAGTTGTATGTGAAAGATGGTGTGTGACAAAGAAAGATGGTGTGTGTGAAAGTTGTGTGTGAAAGCGAGCATGTGACAAAGTTGTGTGTGAAAGATGTTGTGTGACAGAGCTGTGTGTGAAATATGGTGTGGTGAAAAATGGTGTGTGACAAAGTGGTGTGTGAAGGATGGTGTGGTGAAAGGTGGTGTGTGACAAAGTTGTGTGTGAAGGATGGGGTGGTGAAAGATGGTGTGAGACAAAGTTGTGTGTGAAAGATGGTGTGTGACAAAGATGTGTGTGTGTGTGAAGGATGGTGTGTGACAAAGTGGTGTGAAAGATGGCGTGTCATAGATGGTGTGTGAGAGATGGTGTGTGACAGATGGTGTGTCAAAGATGGTGTGTGACAAAGTTGGGTGTGAAAGATGGTGTGTGAAAGATGGTGTGTGAAAGATGGTGTGTGACAAAGATGGTGTGTGAAAGATGGTGGTTGACAAAGATGTGTGTGACAGATGGTCTGTGACAAAGTTGGGTGTGAAAGATGGTGTGTGTGTGACAAACATGGTGTGTGACACCAGAGCCAGCCCAGTGCCATAAGTGCCACGCCTGCCACGCAAAACGAAGGTGGGTGTCGCCAAGTGCCACGGCTGCCATGCAAAACGAAGGTGAACGTCGCCGCGCGAAACGAAGATGGATGTCACCAAAGTATGGCGGCGTCACCGGCGACCAATCCGGGCACAAGCGCGCCCAAGCAAAAAAAAAAGTGGTGGATGTCACCAAATGCCACGCCTGGCACGCAAAACGAAGGTGGGTGTCGCCAAGTGCCACGCCTGCTACACAAAGTACCGCGGCGTCACCGGCGACTAATCCAGTCCAAGCGCGCCACCAGAGCCAGCCCAGCGCCATAAGTGCCACACAAAGTTGTGTGTGAAAGATAAGACGAAGTTGGCTGTGAAAGACGGTTGACAAAGATGTGTGCGGAAGATGGTGTGTGAAAGATGGTGGTTGACAAAGATGTGTGTGACAGATGGTGTGTGACAAAGATGTGTGTGAAAGATGGTGTGTGAAAGATGGTGGTTGACAAAGATGTGTGTGAAAGATGCTGTGTGAAAGATGGTGGTTGACAAAGTTGTGTGTGACAGATGGTCTGTGACAAAGATGTGTGTGAAAGATGGTGTGTGAAAGATGGTGGTTGACAAAGATGTGTGTGAAAGATGGTGTGTGAAAGATGGTGGTTGACAAAGATGTGTGTGACAGATGGTGTGTGACAAAGATGTGTGTGAAAGATGGTGTGTGAAACATGGTGGTTGACAAAGATGTGTGTGACAGATGGTGTGTGACAAAGATGTGTGTGAAAGATGGTGGTTGACAAAGATGTATGTGACAGATGGTGTGTGACAAAGATGTGTGTGAAAGATGGTGTATGAAAGATGGTGGTTGACAAAGATGTGTGTGACAGATGGTGTGTGACAAAGATGTGTGTGAAAGATGGTGTATGAAAGATGGTGGTTGACAAAGATGTGTGTGACAGATGGTGTGTGACAAAGATGTGTGTGAAAGATGGTGTGTGAAAGATGGTGGTTGACAAAGATGTGTGTGACAGATGGTGTGTGACAAAGATGTGTGTGAGAGAATGGTGCGACAAAGATGGTGGTTGGATGTGTGTGACAGATGGTGTGTGACAAAGATGTGTGTGAAAGATGGTGTATGAAAGATGGTGGTTGACAAAGATGTGTGTGACAAATGGTGTGTGACAAAGATGTGTGTGAGAGATTGTGTGACAAAGATGGTGGTTGACAAAGAGGAGGAGCGGGCGGAGGAGGAGCGGGCGGAGGAGGAGCGGGAGGGATACAGAATCGAAAACAAGAACCCCACACAAAGATGTGGGGAAAAACATCAGACTGATTCGCTGTCTCCTCGCATCCAATACCCATAAAGGAGCTGTAAATGGGTCTTCTTCTGGACAACCGTACTTTTTTCTGGGTGATACAAATTGGGACGTGCCGAGTCAAATGCCACAGTCTTCGCACGAGTTTTTGTGGGCCTTAGATGATGAATCCTGTTGCAATCCACGTTTGCAGGATATCGATAGGTCCTCGGAAACAATGTGAAAACATGTGTGATTCCACGCTGTCGTATGCATGGTCTTAGAGAAGCCTGGCTGTGAATGACTGCAGTGTCATGCGCCTTTTGGCTTAAACCTTTAGGGCCCTTGAGCTTTTCGTGGCGACGAACAGAAAGGATCCAGCCGCGATTCAAACTGGTAGCGGAGCAGGTTCCGGAGGGTGATCCCCGGGATTTGACTCGGTAACTCGCAGATCCAGGAAGGCAAGATTGTGTGTGTGAGACAGCTTAGCACTGATCAAAGACCTACGACAGCTTTGCTGATCAAGAAGAATCAAGAGACCAATTCTGGTTCGTACATCTACTCTGGAAGCCCCAGTGGATTCCATGAGTTGGAGCTTAGGACCCGAGTGCGCGAGGAGTTCCTCAAACAGAAGATCAGGAAGAAAGTTTGGAACATAAGGCCAAATCTGCGTCAGCTTCACCGGGACGAGGACGATGGACAAGGTGGACAAGATGGACAGGAAGATGGGCAGCAGGAGGAGGAGCGTTCAGACCATGCTTCACCTTGTGCTGCGCCTAGCTTTCCTGGCTCAGTCGAGGATGAGCAGCTGTCAGGAGAGATTGCTTCCCTGAGAGTTGAATAAGTGCAGAAGGTGTTGGAAGGCCTGTGAGGCGACGCTCACTTAGCAGCTCAGGACCTTGGAGCCGAGACCCTCATGAAAGATGGAGGAATTGAAGCCTTGAGTGCAACCCTGAAGAAGATGATCTTTCCTTTGCAGTCTCTGGAAGCCAAGGAGCTTTTCCGAGTAGGACAGATGCAACATGGCCCCTTGTCACGCCAGACAGGGGAGCCAATGACTTGCTTCATCTCAAGACGCCGCAGATGGTGGCGCCAAGTGAAAGGGCTTGATTCCAACATGCTGATTTCCGATCAGATGCGTGCCGAGCTTCTCATAGAAAGCACGGGCTTGACCAAGCAGGAGCAGCTCATGATCAGAACTTCTTCCAAGAGTCATATGTTTGATGATTATGCAGCCATTTTACTTGAACATCATGGGAGAATCCACTTGAAGGATTCCAGATCCCTTGCGCCACAGCACAAGTCCAGTTCCAACTATCCCCAGGTGAAAGGACAATTCAAAGGACCGCAAAGCACTGGTATGGAAACAACCGCACAGCCCATTGGACAGAAGCCAATGTGAGGAGACCTGGCATGAGCCAGAGGAACATCACGGAGAAGATGAGTACGAAGAACACTACGATGAACATGGGTACATTGCCCACCAAGATGAATTTGAACAGTCCACTGAGTGGGACTACGTCGAAGATGATGACACTGCAGTTGCCTTGGTCGCCTGACGGTGGCCATGATGAAACTCCAGCTGATGGGTTTGATGGCCTTGCAGAAGCTGCCCATCAGCTCTATGTAGGTTACATGGCCGCTGGCCTTCGCAAGGGGAAGACCAAGGGTTTCAAAGGCAAGGACAAAGGCAAAGGCAAAGGTAAGCACATTTTCCGGACACAGCTCAGTGTACAGGATCGTGTCATGCAAGCATTTGGCAGAGCTGAAAGCTCGTTCCAAATGCCTCCGATGAGGAAGCACCGGCCATTGGGCAGGTGATCCTGCTTGCAAATTTCCCAGCCATGGGAAGAAGCCACCTGTTAAGCCCCAGGGATCCAAGCCTGGTGTTGGATATCTTGCAATCAGTGATGAAGAGTCGTCTGCAGGTGAGTATGGTGTTTTGCATGTGCGTTCACATCAGGAGAAGGAACATGCTGCGTTCATGGCTTACAGGACCTCAGTTCCAGACGTTCGGCCAGAGCGCCACCTTCACCAGGTGGATGAGCCGACTCGGGTGGTTTCAGCATGGTCAGTGACAACCCTAAGGACCGAGCACGTCGAACCCGTGTCCCACTAGCCTCCGTACAGGGAAGTGAAGGCTTGCCTGATGGGTCGGATAGCAAGTTCACGTTTGGTCAGCATGTTGGTTTGTCTTACCATGAAGTTTTGCAAAAGTTCCCTGGTTATTACCTATGGGGAAAGGAGCAGAAGTCACCTAGCAAGGGTTTGGCAGACTTTTTGGATTGGGCCACTGACAACTATGAGGTTGATGGTGAATCCCATGAAGTCATTCCACGCATGTTGCCTTTGGAAGTAGCGTCGTCTGCTGCACGTTCATGTCACAAGAAGCGTGCAGGGCTTGGGAGGCAAAAACCCCCAAATCCCCCACTGGCCAAGTGTGGCAAATGCACCCGCTTCACAAGTCTGGCAAGCAACGCCTACATTCAGATCAAGACATGTTTGGACTGTGGACACTCAACCAGGACAAAGCGTGCGGAGGTTTTCCCGAGAACCTTGAAGCATGCAAGCATCAGAATTTGGACCACCGTGGAAGTAGCAAGTTCACTGCACGATTCTTTTGCAAACAGTGTGGTGCGCTTGTGGATGAAATACCCCAAGCAGAAGCTAGGAGAAGACGTCGACTGAGGAGAGACATTGCCACACTTCTTTCACCTGCAACTGGCACCACTGAAAGGGCGATCGGAGCTGAGAAGGAAGATGTTTGTTTGGACCAAGATGGAGCATAGCATTTGATGACCATTTTCCAACAAGATCTTGACTTGGAGCTGGAGAGCCCGTGTTGCCGTTGTCTACGAGATCCTCGCCAATGCCATTGAGGCTGCCCCAGTGGCAGACCCCGAGCACTGCTTTATGGCAGTTGCATTGTCACCCATGGATGATCAGATTGTTGGACCTGCCTTGCGTGTGATTGACAGTGGGAATGATGAAGGTGTTTGGGCACTGTTGGATGAAGGTTGCAATTCAACAGACTGAATGGGTGTCCGAGCTGTTGAAGCATATGCTGCCGTGGGGTATGATGTTGTGAAGGTTTCAGATGAGGCCAAACCTTTCAAAGGTCTTTCAGGAGTCACCAAAAAACCATGGTAGCTACCGCATCCCTTTTGCTCTCGCGTTTGTCAACAACAACCAAAAGTTGCTTGGCATCATGGAAACACATGTCATTGATGGCAAGGTGCCATTGTTGTTGCCACAGCATGCGCAAGCAGCAATGAGTTTGGTCAAGATGATGGGTGAAAGCAAGTGCACGGTAGGCATAGGCGGACCAGAGGTCGAACTTTGCCGGGCAAAAGAATCTGGATTACCTTGCATCAACTTGTCAAGTGCATTGACAAAACTGAAAGACAGAAAACTTCCTTCCAGCTTGAAAGAGCTGAGACTGTCCTCAGGCGCCCCAACTGTTTTCCCAGCCATGATCGAAGCTGGCAACACCAATGCGGTGTTGATCTCATGTGGTAAGGAGTTTGACTGTGGAATTTCAGAGTTTGCAGATGCCAACCCATACAACAAAGTGCGAGCTGGCAGAACGGTCGCAACTTCTTTTGGCCTTTCTACGCGGACAACATGGATCGTGAATGTGTTGAGGTTTCGGGGGTCCCAATCATGACCCCTCATTACGGGGCCATGGGTTTCTTTGCCACTACGGAGAGCCAAGCTGCTTTGGTGGAGATGCTTCGAGTTTGGTGGAGACGAAAGAGAATGTTGGCATGGTGGTCTACTGCAACCAGAACCGTCACCGCTCTGTTGGAGTGAGTTGCATGCTTGCATCAGCCTATAGTGTGATCACAGGGGATGAGATCATTGTGACTCATGCCTGCTGCTATATCGGGTCCCAGATGCAGGGACATTGCAAGTGTGAATGCATGGAATGCCGGCATGAATCTGCTGAGATCAGAGAAGCAGCAAATGTTTGCGTGCAAGCACTGGTTGATTCGTGAAGCTACCGGCCCATTCTGCGCCGAGATATGTTTGAGATCAAGCCAATACCAACGAACAAGATCGAACAAGGTTGTGCAAAATCCTGGTTCGTATGGAGCGCCTGTGCTCAAGCGCGCCTCTCCTTTTTCAGGTCATCCAACTGCTTCTGCATTGCCTTCATGGCCTCAAGCAGCTCAGACGTCGGAGGCGGGTCATCTCGACGTCCGGCACTCATGCTCGATGCCCTTGACGATGCATAGGCATAGCCAGGGTCCGGAAAAGCTCCTCGACGATCTCTTGCTGAACCAGGCGCCTCCCGTTGCACAGCGGTTCGAGATCTCACCGGAATTGGCTCTCTGTCCTCTCTTGGCGGAGGAGGCAGTGGCGGCTTCTTGACCTCAGGCGGTGCTCGCTTCGTGGTCACCACCTTGACATGCGGCGCAGCAGCCTTGGAAGTCTGCTACATCACGAACGCCCAATGTCAGAGCCATGAGTCCCATTTGGTGTTGTGCAGCTATGCCGCCACTCGCAAACTTCAGCTTCGAACAGCGGACATCACGAACGCCTACTTTCAGGCGGTTTCGATGACGAGGTTGCTACTAATGGCCCCGTCCCGCGGAGGATTGCCGATGTTTGACGCTGAGATCCCGGAGGACGCGGTGTTGACGTGCCGAGTCCCAGTGTTCGGAACGGAACGAAAGATGCTGGACGAGGTTTTTATCTGCGGATGAATGCCGAAATCTTAGCACAAGGTTTCGTGGCTGCGACATGCTTCCTCTTCGGTAAGGCCCAGGAGCAATTGCTGCTATGATCTGCACTCATGGATGACCTGCTCTTCGCCGCCTACACGGACAAAGGCAAGGAGGCCGTAGATGCTATCCTCAGCCGCTTTTCGGTTGGGAAGATTGGGGAAGGTTCGTTTTCGCTACTGTTGTCGCTACTGTTGTCGCCGTTTTCCCAGGATGATGATCACACAATTCATGTGGACGTCCGAGGCAACACTTCGAACTTGAAACCAGCCGCGATTGGAAAAGATCGAAAGATGAATGACTCCGTGACCCAGGAGGAATTGACTTCTCTCCGAAGTGTCGTTAGGACTGGCATGGGCGAGCATGGGCGAGCCGATATGGACTGCCAGGTCTTGCTGGCTTACCGTGTAAATGAACTCAATCGTTGTTGCCATTCCAAAAGCACAGTTCAAAGCTTGAAGGACGCCAATCGAGTTGTGGAACTCGCTTTGCAGGGAAGTGACTGCAAAATCACTTTCAAAACTGACTGGATTGATTGGAACGATCTTGCGGTCGTTATCTTTTCTGACGCCGGCTTTGCAAACGAAGCCGAGTTCAAAAGCCATGAGCCAACAGGGACGTATCCATTACATCACGTCTCGGAATGATGTGAAATTGGGTGAGCACAAATTTCACCTGATTGGATTTGGATCGTCGACCCTGAAAAGAGTTTGCCGAGCTACACTGCAGGCTGAGGCTTACACTCTGCAGGGGTCAATTGAGTCTGGAGACAAGCTACGTGTTTTGCTTTGTGAGTTGACTGGCCGTTTGAAATCAGTCCAAAAATGGTATGAACAGAGCCAACGCGCGATGGTACTCCACAGATTGCCGCTCCCTGAGTGACCACTTGTCTTGCAAGGTTGCGCGCAAGGTGCAAGACAAGCGCTTGGGACTTGAACTCTCCGCGCTGAGACAAGCTCTGTGGATCAATGGTTCGAAAACATGTGAGAAGTATCACTCAGCAGGAGATGAGATCGAATGGATTGACACTGGCAGACAGTTGGCAGACTGTTTGACCAAGAGCATGAAGCCTGACTTTTTGGTCAGAGTGCTCGCTGAGGGATACATCAACATGAAGAAGCTGAACTGAGAGACTTGGAAGTGTATAGATAGATATTGGAATAATACAGTAGTACCAGAATGAGACAGTCTGGTGAGAAAAAAAAGGCCATTCCAATAGGAATAGAGTTGCGTGTCTTGTTTTGTATATAGTACTGCCGCATTCACACCAGTAGATAAGACTGGTGTGTTTCCACGCTGTCGTATGCATGGTCTTAGAGAAAAGCCTGGTTGTGAATGACTGCTGTGTCACGCACCTTTTGGCTTAAACCTTTAGGGCCCTTGAGGTTTTCGTGGCGACGAACAAAAGGATCCTGCCAAGATTCAAACATGTTTTCACACCCTATGACCATCGAAGCTGGCAATGGGATATCTGCAATTGAGTACGAAAGGCATAAACTGCAAATGCGGGTTGTCCAGTTGCCCAGTTTGATTGCCAAAGGCAAGCAAAGCATACAATTTTCCCCAGTCATTAGCAGTGTCACAGATGGCAAACGTGAAACATGTTTCACCGAAGGGCTTGCGCTGAACTCAGCTGGATCCTGCTTCCAAAGCTCATGAAATGTCCGTGGTAGGCAGGCAGTTTGTTTTTGGTGTGTTGGTGTGTTTGTTCCATTTGCAAAACTAAGGATCTAATTGTCCCATCTCTTGATTTGCACCTTTTATATTTCTGAATTAGCGAAGCACCACGATCCGTGCGCAGGATCTTGTTCTGAAGCCAGCAATCCTTGCACTCATCCTGGCAGTGGTCTCAACTCTGGTACTCACCTGCCGTCCCAGCATCAAAAGGCGCGGTCCTGGAGTGGTTGGGTGCGTGAATCCTTGGCAGTTAAAGAATCAACAATGTCAGCAATGCCCAGATCATCATTGTGGGTTTATACCCCGGTTTCATGATGTTGTGAGAGACAGGGGATGATCATGGGATAATTGGAATTCAATACAGGAAACCCCGTCAAGAAACCAGTAGTGCGAGGCTTGTTGCATTTTTCCACTGAAGACCGACAAAAGTGTCAAGGTTTTTAGATCTTCTCAAAAGGTGCTGTACAAACTTAGCAGCATTGTTTATTTGCGGTAAATTCATCGGACTTTCAAGAAGCCACGATCGATATCAGATGGCCACGGTTTCACACCTAGAAAGTGCCATATTTTACATGATGAAACATGGCAAAATGCACAAGTTCACAAACTGTGCAAGGGCGTAGTTTTTGTTGCATCGAAACAAAAAGAATTCTAAACAGCGGGGCCGTTGAGAGGGGTCTGACCTTGTTTGTCTGTAAGTCAAATAGATGGTCTTTTTGGCACATGGATTTGTAGTCGCATGTGACTATTTGCCCGGAACGCGCACGCTTTAAGACAATAACATTGACTTGGTGTCAGCCGTAAGTTTGAAGCACATTCGCATGTCTCCCTTCTTGCTAGTTTCTTCGTCTTGATTTTTCAAAACTCTCTTGGATTCTCTTTGCGGAAACACAGGGTCAAGGTCCAGCTATGCCGTGTCTTGGCGCAGGAACATTCAAGCCAAGTGGATGGAAGATAGAAGTGTCGAACATGTCGCAGCCAAGGAGCCGAGAAACTGGCGGTTGGGCAAGCACAGCTGCACACCCGTCACCGCTAGTTCTGCACAGGATGCACAAAGACGCACAACGCAGGATGTACAAGTTGCCACACACACAAAGACTCTCATATGAGTATGAGTATGTACCCAAAAATGGGATGGTGAATTCTGAAAGCTGCCAAAATATGCAGTTCCATGGGTTTTTAACTATTGACCCATAGCCATCATGATTTGTTTGCGTTTTCTCTCTTTATTTCCCTTCGTTTGGCTCCCTTACAACTTACAATGTATGAGTGCATGCCCCCATTTGCGGCACACACACACACACATCATCTAAGGTGCTGTCAGGTGAGATACCCACAAACAATCGGAGAAAAATCGACGTCATGGCGTAGCCTGGAAGTGGATCACTGACAAGGTAAGTTCCCTGTCACCCTGTGCTCAGCCTGATCGCTTTGACTTGCTTCGACTTTGTCCAGTGAGGACTCGAGAGGTTCTCCAATCCCAAGCGAATTTTGCGAAGCCAATGATGTGAAGGAGGTGGGTTCGCGGTCGCTGGTGATGAGAAATTGAGATCTTTGCTACAGTCGAAGTCCCGACTTAGGGCTCTCTCTCTCTTCTCTCTCTTCTCTCTCTTCTCTCTCTTCGATTTACTGGTTCTGATGCAGCTCAGTCAGATTGCGAAAACCGTACAGTTGTTTGATTTGAAAACAGTAGGAAAAGCGACGTGCCGGTACTTGGCTTAGCCGGTTGCCATTGACGAAAATGAAAATTGGTGCAGGTACACGGAGGTGATCAATCTCCGCTTCCCCCATTGTGGAATAGCTTCGTTGGCACAGGTATCCACAATGCGCCTGTGCCCCCTGCATCGACTACATAAAATCGAAATGAACATGAAAATAAGCTGACAGCGACTTGCCCGGAAAAGTTGGGAAAGTAATCATCCAAAACAGGAAGTACGAAAGTTAGAAGTTTTACATCTTTTCAGATGTTCCACACCCACACACACAATTTTTCACACACAACTTTGTCACACACCATCTTTTACACACCATCTTTCACCCACAACATTGTCACACACAGACACACAACTTTGACACACACACACAATCTTTCACACACCACTTTGTCACACACCATCTTTCACACACAACTTTGTCACACACCATCTTTCACACTCAAGTTTGTCACACACCCTTTTTGACACTTCACTTTGTCACCCACAACTTTGACACACACACACACCATCTTTCACACACCACTTTGTCACCCACCAGCTTTGACACACACCATTGTCACCCACAACTTTGTCACACACCATCTTTCACACAACTCTGTCACCCACAACTTTGTCACACACACAACACTTTGTCACACACCATCTTTCACACATAACTTTGTCACACACCATCTTTCACACACACACACACACATCTTTGTCACACAACATCCTTCACACACACACACATCTTTGTCACACACCATCTTTCACACACAACTTTGTCACACACACACACACCCTCTTTGACACACAACTTTGTCACCCACAACTTTGACACACACACACAATCTTTCACACACCACTTTGTCACACACCATCTTTCACACACAACTTTGTCACACACCATCTTTCACACTCAAGTTTGTCACACACCCTTTTTGACACTTCACTTTGTCACCCACAACTTTGACACACACACACACCATCTTTCACACCACTTTGTCACCCACCAGCTTTGACACACACCTTTGTCACCCACAACTTTGTCACACACCATCTTTCACACAACTCTGTCACCCACAACTTTGTCACACACACACAACACTTTGTCACACACCATCTTTCACACATAACTTTGTCAAACCATCTTTCACACACAACTTTGTGGCAGTCCTGGCACTTGGTGGCATCCATATCCATCCTCACTTCGCGTCGCAGGCGTGGCACTTATGGCACTGGGCTGGCTCTGGTGGCGCGCTTGGGGGCGGTTAGTCGCGCGGGGCGCCGCCACTTTGCGTGGCACGTGGCACTTGGTGACATTGACGTTTCCTGGCAGGCGTGGCACTTGGTGACTTCCATCTTCGTTTTGCGTGGCAGGCGTGGCACTTGGCCACATCCACCTGCGTTTTGCGTGGCAGGCGACATCCGCTTTCACTTTGCTCTGCATGTCAGACGTGGCACTTATGGCACTGGGCCGGCTCTGGTGGTGCGCTTGGGCGCGGTTAGTCGCCGCCACTTTGCGTGCCAGGCGTGGTGACATCCACCTTCGTTTCGCGTGGCAGGTGTGTCATTTGGTGACATTTCCTTTCAATTTGCGTGGCACCCGTGGCACTTGTGGCACTGCGCTGGCAGTGTGGCACTTTGTCACACACCATCTTTGACGCACCATCTTTCACGCAGCACTTTGTCACACACCATCTTTCAAACACAATCTTTCACACAGAAGTTTGTCACACCATCTTTGACACACCACTTTGTCACACACCATCTTCACACACCACTTTGTCACCCACCATCTTTCACACACCATCTTTTACACACAACTTTGTCACACACCATCTTTGACACACCACATTGTCACACACCATCTCTCACACACCATCTCTCACACACCACTTTGTCACACACCATCTATCACACACCATCTTTCACACACAACTTTGACACACACACACACATATTCCATCTTTCACACAACTTTGTAACGCCACTTTGTCACACACCATCTTTCACACACACAACTTTGTCACCGGCAACCTTGTCACACACACACAACTTTGACACACACACAATCTTTCACATGCCACTTTGTCACACACCATCTTTTACACACCATCTTTCACACACCACCTTTCACACATAACTTTGTCACACACCATCTGTGACACACCACCGTTCATCCACCCTCTTTCACACACACATCTTTGACACGCCATCTTTCACACACCACTTTGTCGCCCACCATCTTTGACATACCATTTTTCACACCACTTTGTCATACACACCATCTTTCACACACAGCTTTGTCACACACCATCTTTCACACACCATCTTTCACACACAACTTTGTCACACACACCATCTTTCACACACCGCTTTGTCACACACCATCTTTTACGCACACCATCTTTCTCACACCACTTTTTCACCCACCCTCCTCCACACACATCTTTGACACACCATCTTTCACACACCAATTTGCCACACCATCTTTGACACACCATCTGTCACACCACTTCGTCACACAAGAACTTTCACACACCGTCACAGGCCATCTTCCACACACCATCTTTCACACACAACTTTGTCACACCACTTTGTCGCACTTTCACACACCACTTTGTCACACACCATCTTTCACCACACCATCTTTCACACACCACTTTGTCACACACCATCTTTCACACGCCACTTTGTCACACACACCACCTTTCACCACACCATCTTTCACACACAACTTTGTCACACACCATCTTTCACACACCGTCACAGACCATCTTTCACACACCATTTTTCACACACAATCTTTCACACCACTTTGTCACACCATCTTTCACACACGACTTTGTCACACACCATCTTTCGCACACACACACACACCATCTTTCACACACAACTTTGTCACACACCATATCTGGCACACCATCTTTCACACACCACTTTGTCACCCACCATCTTTGACACACGATCTTTCACACACCACTTTGTCACACACCATCTTTCACACACAGCTTTGTCATACACCATCTTTGACACACCACCTTTGACACACCATCTTTCACATCACTTTGTCACACACCATCTTCCACACCACCTTTCACACACCGTCACAGACCATCTTTCACACACCAGTTTGTCAAACACCATATTTGACACACCATCTTTCACACACAGCTTTGTCAAACACCTTGTTTGTCACACACCATCTTTCACACACCACTTTGTCACACACGATCTTTCGCACACAGCTTTGTCACACGCTCTCTTTCACACAACTTTGCCACAAACCATATTTCACACACAACTTTGTCACATACCATCTTTGACACACCATCTTTCACACACCGCTTTGTCAACCTCCAGCTTTGACACACCGCTTTGCCACCCACCATCTTTGACACACCATCTGTCACACCACTTTGCCACACAGCATTTTTCACACACTACTTTGTCACACACCATCTTTGACACACCACTTTGTCACACACACCATCTTTCACGCACCACTTTGTCACACACCATCTTTCTCACACCAATTTTTCACCCAACCTCTTTCATCTTTTGACACACCAACTTTCACACAGCACTTCGTCACACCATCTTTGGCACACCATCTTTCACACACAACTTTGTCACCCACAACTTTGTCACACACAACTTTGACACACACACACACAATCTTTCACACACCACTTTGTCACACACAGTCTTTCGCACCACTTTGTCACACACACACCATCTTTCACACACCACTTTGTCACACACCATCTTGCACACACCATCTTTGACACACCATCTTTTACACCACTTTGTCACACACCATCTTTCACACACCGTCACAGACCATCTTTTACACACCATCTTTCACACACCATTTTGTCACACACCATTTTTGACACACCATCTTTCACACACAACTTTGTCACACACAACTCTGTCACCACACCATCTTTCACACACAACTTTGTCATACACCATCTTTCACCACACTACTTTCACACTCAATTTTGTCACACACCTTCTTTCGCCACCATCTTTCACGCACCGCTTTGTCACACACCATCTTTCTCACACACACACAACTTTGTCACACACACACACACCATCTTTCTTTGTCACACACCATCTTTCACATACAACTTTGTCACACACACACAACTTTTCACATACAACTTGTTTTGCTTCTCGATCCTCCGCCACCTCGTTTGTCTTTCCTTCCTTCCCCGTCCCCGCTACAACATTTGTTGCTTATTCTTGGAAGAAATTGACTTGTGGGGTTATCCGGTCCTTTGATTAGCTTTTTCACTTGCAAATGTGCTTCGCGCCACAGCGGCGTGCAATTTTTCATCTCTCATCTGGCCAGATGTCTCCGCACCCGCCGCTTTAGCGAGCCCACTTTTTGACTCTCCGGAGCCACAAACCATTGGAAAAAAAACAGTGAATCGTGAGTTTTCTACCTTTTCGCGCACCTGCATCTTCTTTCTTCTGACTCTTTCTCTTCTCTGATCTTCTCTCTTCTGCTCTTCTCTTCTCTGACTCTTCCCACCTCTGCTTTTCCATTTGTCCATATTGTCGGAAGTTTGACTTCTAAACTTCCTTCGATCATCATTTTTTTTGGTTGCTTAAAGTTAAATCCGTATTAAACGTATCATATATTCTTCAATTTCGGCCTTGAGGCAGCAAACCCGCATGTGGCACCCGGTGTAGTCACCAGGCGCCGGAGAGCCTGACGCCGGCACCCGAGCCGGTGGAACCACCCACGCTCTTGGACATTGGCTCCAGTGACGTGGCACCGTGGGCGCGGGGAGAGAACTCACCG